TCCTATCTCTGCTTGCACTCTGCTCAGAAGCCATGACAGAGGCAGGTGTGTGGGACAGTCACCATGTAGTATGAAGACAGAAGTGTGTGATCCCCTAGGAGAGAGCCTGATGTAAAAAGTGAGGCAACATGGCAGATGTTTCCTGCATTCTCCTATAGCTGAGCAGAGCAAATTAGAGGTAGTGCACATTGTCCTGCTCAACAGTAAAACACCAGAGCAGCTTGAACAAGCAATACAGGAGGACATGCACAGCCTGTGGTAGGTGCCAGGGTCCTGCCAGGAGCTGGTAACACCTGTGGCTGTCTGCAGAACCTGAGTGGAATGAACATGGAATTGTGTCTTTGTGGTGAAATGGTGTTAGTGAAACAGGCCCAAGCCAGTGGAAGATGTGATGGGAAGAGGAGTGCTGAATGGAGTTGAAGCGCAGTCTGTCCAGTGAGCTGGGTGGTCCAGTCAGGGCATCATGAAGGGAGCCTGACCAGGCATGTGGATCACACCTTGCCCATAGATCAGTCCTCAAAGGAGGGAAGGAGCCTCGTACCAAGAAAGTGAGTGGCTGACCTTGCAGGGAGCAGAGCACTTTCAGGGCCCCCTGTGCAGGGTCTTGGGACAGGTGGGGGGGCCAAGGGTACTTCAGGGTGTCTCTCTGGATGGAGCACAGGAGAGTCCTAAGCCTGGGGACTACCAGATTGGGCATTGCTGGGAATGAAGGGACTGTGGAAGGAGATGGTGGGATAAAGCAAAATTAGGGAGCTTTAGGACCTCCTCAGGGAAGGTCTCTCTGTCTTAAATAGTGAGGCAAAAGGATAAGAAATGAGGAAACTTCCCATGGAAAGTGTCACCCATGGTCTTAAGGCTGGGGAATGTAATGCAGACGGGAAAAGTGGAGAGGAGCTGAGTCTCTGCAGGTATTGCACAAGAGTGCACTGATGGCAGCATGGTAGGAAGAGAAAAGGCTGTGGGGGCTTGTTTTGTGCCTGGCAGTCCCAGGTGCCTGATGACTGGGGGAGTTCCTGGCCATATGGGGGTAGCTGTTGAGCAGTGAGCAGCTGTGGCAGCTGCACCAGACCCAGGACCAGTACACAGGGAGCAGAGACCTCACTGCACCACACAGCTCATGAGCAATGGCCTGGGCTCGGGGTGGTGTCCTCTCATCAGTATGATGGGGGTTTGTCCCCTTTGGGAGCATTGTAGTGCCTTGGTGCTAGCCCAAATCCATAGGAAGGAAATGTGTGTGTGTGTGTGTGTGTGTCTGACTTCTCAGTGTCCTTCTGGCGAGGCTGGATGCAAGTGATCTCACCAGAGCTGAGGGGAGAGAGGGCAAGAAGAAATGTGGGGCTGCAGGAGTATGTGGAATGGTCCCAGAGCAGTGGCAAGAGAGCAGGAGTCCTTGGGGCCATGCCTAGCCCAGGACTCACGGTGGCACAGGTCGGTATCCCTGTGGCACAGGTTGTGCTCAGAGGATGGCAGAGGTGCAAGAGATCCCTGGGAGTGTGTGGTGAAGGTGGGGACTGTAACAGCTTGGGCTGTGAGGGGCTGTGGGATTCCGTGTGTTTGCAGCAGCTCCCGCGAGGCGCTGGGCAGCGGGACGGTGGCTGCGTTTGGACTGTCACCCAGAGTGGGCAGCTCGGGCGGGTGTCAGGGCGGGCAAAGGCGCAGGGCGGCAGGGCTGGGGCTGTGGAGGCAGCAGGGGGTGAGAAGAGCCCCGAGCGGGGGTGCTGGAAGGGCTGTGTCCCGGGGCGGGAAGCGCGGGGGGGCTGGCTCGGCACAGCGGGGCTGCGCGGGCTGCGGGGGCGCGGAGCTCACCCCGCTCTCCTTCCAGGGAAGCGCACGAAGAAGGGGATGGCCACGGCCAAGCAGCGGC